TGTGTCGACCCATTCCCCTATGTCTACGCCAGTAGTGTCGACTACGCGTACGCCTTCGTCTCGCTCATAGCGCTCTCGTGCCCACAGTGTGCCTTCCCATCTGCAGAAGCCTTGGATTTCGGCTTCGGTTAGCCCGAGCCGGTCAAATGCGTCGAAGAGTCGCTTGTGGTGTGGGAAGCGGCCGAGGCGTTTTCGGTGTGGTTGGAAAGCGTAATTTAGGCCTGGGTACCGCGCTTCGATTGTGTCGAGCGAGCCGTAGAAGTTTGCTGTTTCGATGCGCACTTCGCCGACGAGGTTTTTGGAGAGGTGCGCGCTGAAGGAGGGAGGGTCTGTGGGCGAGGGCGTGGGGAAGAGCGTGTTGTAGACGAGCACGCTGATGGGGTTTTTGCGGTGCATGGCTGCGGGTGTGTAATGTGGCGCTCTTTGAAGGTTCTGTCAAGGCGAAGTTTGTTGGAGGGAAGTGTGCCGCCGTGCGAGAGGGGAGCGTGGATAGATGAGGTGTCGCCGTCGCTCGCAGATTGCGCGTTTGGGTGCTCGAGTGTGAAAGGACAAGGCGGAAAGTGGGTTGTCGCAGAATATGACCGCCTCACCCGCACCTTCTCTAACTTCCTCCTTACTAAGGGGCCGGCCAGGTGTGTGTGCTGACCTCGGGCGTGACCGCTGTTTCCAAGGTTCCCACGTTCTGACGCCGCCTAGCTCTCCCACTAGCTATCAGACGCTCGTCGGAATGGTGCACACCGGGTACCTGACAGCTGACTCTGCTGTCTTGCGCGTCGAGGTTCCGAAAGTCCCGTGGATGGTAATTTGCAAAATCCCTGAATGCACAGAGGGAATCGCTCGAATCCTATGCCTTTTGCGCTATCCTGCAGATCTTGCGGGCCAGAGGGGAGACCCCGGCTTTTGCTGCGAGATTGGTCGGGAAGGGTCGACGGCGTTTTGCGACGAGAATGCGGCACGGCGACGACGTGGGAAAACGGTGCAGCTAGCCGTCACCACACAACACAAGCTAGAGAAGTCTGAAAGGCGAGGCCGGCGAGGAGCAGGGGAAGAGCGAGCAAGATGGGATCAAAGGGGAGCAGGCGGGTATAAGACATGCACTCTGCTCGCGTCAACGCTCTCTGCCCTCACCGCCAGCACATGCACGATTATGGCTCGCTATTATTCTGGATCCTCACAGTTGGCCACAGATGTCGCAACAGGGACCAGACCCTGAAGGCCGCTATGCGAAGGCTCACACCGACGATCCCCAGTTTTTGCTCTTTCACCAGACTGACCTCGGCCACCCTATTGAACATTCTGCTCGCCACCTAGCACACCTGCTAAGCAGAAGCGTCGCTGCACCTGTCAAGCCTCGCCGACAGTACACACGAGAATCGCCGGCCTCTTCGCTGTCAAAGCATGCCTGGTGTAATCCCACCTGCGACGGCGGGTGAGTTGTAACCCAGCGCATGAGAGACCAATAGGTCCGCCCGCCCGCCGATTATCCGGGCCCGAGTATTCGACATGGATGCCGCGGGACGAAGCATGCACGAGGAACGACTGGTCCAGCTCTCTGTTCCACTGCCATGCCTACTGCAGGGTTACTCCAACTTGGCCCTTGCTATGCAGGCCAAGCCTGTGCGACTTGCTAGTATTTCCGTCGTCGCGCTCTTGCCGGCGACGACTTTCTTCCAGTGCGCCACGGAAGCGCATTTGCTATGCAGGGGTGGTGAAGATGTAGTATTTACTTTTTGTTGTTTGAGGGTGTACCATGGAGAGATTGTGGGCGAGGTGATATGCCGAGAATCGGACCCCTGCCATTCCGCCTCGATCGTATCTGCAGCCGATTGGGCAGCCGCTTGGATCACGTGGCTGCTGCTGACACATCGAGTCCGCGTACGCCGTGGCTGCCTCATTCCATCAATCCTTCGATCCACCACACCCAACGTTTCTAAGTTTTCATCTGAACCCGTGACGAACAGCTGCCTGCAGCCCAACCACGCCTCATCCGCACCCGTGACAGACTGCTGCCTGCGATCCCTCCGCCTATATAATCCGCCAAACTCTCAGCCTCTTCCTTCCTTCCTCATCCTAGTGCAGGGGTGATTTGCTTACCAGTGAAGATTCGTCTGAGGTAGCCATTTTGCTGGTTTAAAATTACATATATTGACTGCTCTGGTAGGCCTTCTGGGCCTTCCAGGAATTTTTGGAACCCTCTTCGTTGGTCTCGGTAAGCTAGTTGCTGCTGGATTGAAGAAGGGGTCGGTGTTGTGCATCCTGCTCGGCTTATCTCAACGCTTTCCTGTACAACCCGAAGGTACTCGTACTGCATCGGGGGTCTCGCAAGAGATTGGGGCAGAATATGCGAGTGCGACACCATGGGAGTGGCTTTTGGCCTCCACACCATGTTCTGGGGGCTCAAATCTGACGACGGCACTGGTGTAGCTGGCACAAGGCTGACATCGCCGCAATGATGTCGCGTTGCATCGTGTGACGATGACTGAGTATAAGGCACGATTGGCTTTCCAGTACGATCTCAGTACTTCGAGCTATTAGTCTTTGTCAACTTTCCTCATCTTACTCTGTCCAACTTACGCGACAGACATGTCTATCTCTCAAAGTCCTGCGGCATCCGACCACTTGGACACCGACAGACGGCTTTCCTTCGATAGCTTTGCAATGGCTGACTTGGCGTCTCCTCAAAGCCAACCTCCCTCACACCACTCAGTTTCCCCAGTCTCATCAAGGACAGGATCGCCGTCTACAATCAACAGCTCGAACTCCATGTCAACTATTCAACCCCAACAGGGGTCCGCATCTCCTCCCTTTAAGCCACTGCCAAAGGGACGTTCACATTCCATGGGCTGGTGGTGGGAAGTGGCGGCCTTGCTACTGAGCACTGTGTGCATGGCACTCATCCTGGCCATCCTTTTCACCATGGACGGCAAGCCCATGAGGGACTGGAGACTCCCCATTCAACCGAATTCTCTGATAGCGGTGTTCTCCACTATTGCTAAATCGGCATTGTTAGTCCCTCTTGCCGAGTGCATCGGACAGCTGAAATGGATCTACTTCCAGACACCACAATCGAAGCCTGTCAATCGCCTCTATGATTTCGATGTGGCTACCCGTGGACCTTGGGGAGCTTTTACCTTTCTTTACAAGCTGCGATTGAGGAAGTCCGCTGCGCTTGCGTCTTTTGGAGCAGCCTTGACAATTTTTTCGCTTGGCTTTGAGCCTTTCACACAGCAGGTCTTGAGAGTCTACTCCAAACCCGCGCTGCTAGTCAACACTACCGGGACTGTAAGCTCAAGCAATTCGTTCTCAGACGTGTCGAGCATAGAGAATGCTGATCTCATTGGTATGTCTTTGCGTGGATCACAAGTCGTGCGTCACTAATCATATGATAGGCATAGAGCATCCTCTGACCGTCGGGTTCACAGATCACGTCGCTTTGCAAGACATCAACTTGCTGAGCAATGTATACTGTCCGACAACAGAATGCAAACTTGATGAGTTCACCTCTCTAGGGCTTTGCGAATCCTGCAGCTCAGAAGACGTTATTTTCAATGGCGATTTCTGGAATGGCGGTAACTTCGCAAATGAAGACTTCCAGGGCTGCGGCAATTCCGTGGAATCTAGCTATAATGCCTCTAGTCAACACTTCTACTTCAACTATACTGCGATGACAGATTACGTTGCAGCCACGCAGCCTTATAGATGGGAGAGGATGTGCACTATCAAGAAGCCAGGGTATCCGGAATTGGTGCTCTGGATTACCGCGAGCCGCTACCTCAACGAGAGCTACCCCAGTGTTGGCGTTGTGGACACGGACCTTGCCGCATTTGGCGGCTATCAATTCGGTATCGTTCGCTTGGAACGCAGCAAGATCGATAGAACATACAGCCTCTTCTCTGCAATGAGTGGCAGCCCAGTGTGGTCTCTATCGATTGCGTATCCCCCACAGATCGAGTACTGCATAGGAGACTTTGAAGGTTACCAGGATATAATCACTGAGCCTTTTAAGTTACCACTGCAGACTATTTCCGCATTCACTTGCTTCAAGTCGTCGTCTAATCTCACTCGTGTCGGCGAAATCGATCGGCTCGGATTAGTAAATGGGACGGTATCGCACTGCCAAATGAACTACTGTGCCAAGCGATATCACAACATCACAGTACGAAACACTGTCGTAAACTACGACTCGGTAGAGGAATGGCCACTGATCCCGACTGGCGACGACCCTTATGTGGTGACAAGTGGATACGATCAAGCATTTCGTGCAGAAGGTCTGAACGAGACTTTCTACCTCGGCAACTCCTCACGCCTCTGGCTCGCTGCTTCCACTTCGCGCATCATCAAATCCACGACGCTGAGCACGTACCTGTTGGAGTACTTCCTCGATCACACTTGGTCTCACTTCTTTCGCGGCTTTGCAGAAGTAGGAAGCAAAGTCATACAAGGCCCCGGCAACTCCGCGGCTATCAACAACACCAGTGAAGCTTACGGCCCGGACATCTTTGTTGATGTGAGATGGGCTTGGCTTGCGTATCCGTTGGCGCTTCTCGTTTACTCCGCGCTGTTTCTCTCTTTGACGGCGCTGGGTAGCAGAAGACCCTCCTACCTCTTCAAGAACTCGATACTGGCTGTGCTCGTTCATGGGCTGGAAGGCTGGGATGCGGCGGACTGTCCTGACCTGCTTACCGTAGCGAAGGAGAGGAATAGTGACCTGAAACGAGCTCTAGGACCGGTAAAGGCGTCTTTCACTGAGAATGACGATGGGTTCCTGAAGCTGAAGCGTGACTGATTGTCTCACTATGTGACCACTGGAACGGCAGGCGCGTCTTGAGGGCGTCCTCACCTTCACTTTGGCTCTCACCTCCCGCTAGCTCCGCGCTCGGGCCGCTGTTTGCCTAAAACTGCAGTACCACCCCGCGTCAACTTCCTTCTGCAATCTTTCTCCGTCAATTAACCTACAGCAGCATCTCGACCTGCTGCGATCACTCGACCGGCAGCACAAGATGGCTACCCAAACAGTCATCGAGATCCCCAAAACAACATCTGGTCCTGCCGATCCCCGCGCGCCCAGCATCCTCACAACCCTACCGCCTGAGATTCGCAACCGCATCTACGAGTACTTATTCAAAAGAGACGGACCTATCGTTCTAGACGAGGGTCAGGCGCACGTGGAACTTTGGGCCAGGGGTCATGGCATTCACTATACGCACGGTGGCGTCGAGCAGCAAGTACGGGATGAAGATTTGTGTGATGTCTTCACAGGTTGCACCGACCTTCTACTATCATGCCGGCAAGTCTACCATGAAGCCGTCGGTGTCCTCTACGGCGAGAACACTTTCTTCTTCTCTCAGTTCCTCGAACGTCAGATGCACTTTACCTGCACATGGCTGTCAAGAATCGGAACACACTATCAGCTCCTATCTCGCGTAACCATGGACGCAGATGCATCATATCGACGATACAATCTGTTACCGCTGTTGAAGTTCATTTGGAACAATCCTCAGGCCAAATGTGAATTTGCCTTCGTTGTTTCCAGAAATTCGGGGTTCAAAGAACAAAACAACGGCGCTGACCCGCACGATTCGATCACTGCCGCGGATATTATGAACACGATTCTCTTCGAATTAGGCACCGCAGACGTTCTCAACCTCAGGCAGTATGCCAGATACTCTGGCCTGATCTCATCAGTAATAGTCCGGTACCATGACCACGCTCAATGTGGATATGTCGAATACAACGATTCTTGTATTCCACGTTCCTTCCCGCATCCGAACAGAGGCTTCGATATATTACACCATGGTTCCAAGGTTCAGTGGAAAGAACCTGAACAGCTGAGCCTTCTGTCCATGCCTGATAAATGTCTGTTGGCCATCAATACGTACGCAGGCACATCCGATACAAACGTTGTATTCGACCTGGACACCAACGAAGCCTTGGGCTACCGCATAGGTCTCAGCGGAGTCAATAACTCGCTGCGGGCCGACATTGACCAGATGCATACGCGAGTGTATGACGAGCTTGTTATCCAGATGTCTACTCAGGAAGCTACGACCAACTTCAATGACTTCGAGGCACTACAAAAGTTGTTACACGTTAACAATTTTGAGGCCCTGGTCAATCCACTTGTGCGCAGAGAGGAGCATTGTTCCATCAACATGATTCTGATGTTCAAGCTCTCTACACCAGAGCCCATCGCGGACCTTCGTATAAACATCAACAAGCTTCTGCATACGTTCAAACGCGACCATGGAGGTCTTATCATTACTGTTCAGAAATCCGATAGCAGTGTGAATGGCACACAGTCCATTATGTGGCATCATGTCCAGAAAGCAGTATTCCTCTTAGTATCAGATATATTGGTGCAGTGTCCTTCGAAAGCTAATCGACCCCTTCCACAAATCTGGATCAATGGTCACGGTACTGTTCTGCGCGCTACATATCCCGCCACGGCCTCCTCCGAGGAGACAATCATTCCCTGTTCGTATGGCATCGACGATCCGGCTGACATCCTCGACCAATACCGTCGCAAGACTGAGTATCTTGATCAAAGTGGAATATGGGGGAATCTTGCATCCTCTTACGATATTTATTCTTATATGAATAACGATAGCCTGGCAAGTATGTGGTACTGCTTACGGTACTTTCTTGGGAGGGGTTAGTGAAGTGTGATCGCGTCTAAAAAGGATTAAGGCTTCTGAGAGTGTTACTTAGAAGGAAGCATATGCATGGATCCGAGTACTACCTAAAGACAGCCGGGGCGAGTAGCAGGGGAAGACAAAAGTGAACAGCAAAACCTGGAGGCATTCGATAGCGACGACTCCACGCTGTGCTCCAGTTGGAGCTCGCGGCTAGGAAATGGTATTGCCGTCTCCAAAGTGTGGTTTGCAAGGAGTGGAAGACATTCTGATCATCAGCAGGACACATGGCGTGTGCAAGAAATGATGAGGAGTTGCACATGCGTGGACTGACCGGAACTGAAGCAATGGCTCTCTCAAAAAGTACATAGTAATCTTGATTTCAACAACTACATAAACTTCTCCATCCCTACTAACAGTTCCTCGAACATCCAAACGGAAACGGCAGAACAGCAGGACTCTTATACCCGCCCTTGCCCACACTCCTCACCCCAAAGATGACGTTATCCTTATGGATCGTCGCCGAAGTAAGATTGAACCAATTCACATTCCCCACCTCAATAACATTCGTCCAATGCGGCTCAATCGTATCACGATACAGGATCTCATACCCCTCAACCGGCAGTCCCTTCGGCGCATCCCACTTAAACTGGCTGAAATTGTCGGACGTCGTGGTGTTGATACCAACATTCGTTGGCTCACCAGGCGCATTGGCGAGACTCCACATGGTGGATGCTACGACCTTGGCGGCGCGCGTGTTGTACTCGAAGTCTAGCCATTCGACCAGGTCACCGTATTGCTTTCCGTTTCGTACGGTGACGTTCTGGTGCTGTTGCGTGTAGTCCTCGTTAGGCTGGACGAAGCGAACGCCTGTGTAGCCTGCTTCGAGAAAGGGGCGGTGATCGCCGCCTCTGCTGTACCTGTCTAGGCGGTAGATGAGGCGCACTGTCATCTCGGTGAAAGCATTCGATGCGACTTCGTAGATGAAGCGACCCATGTTACGAGCAGGACTGTCGTTGTCGCCGCCGATGCTGAGACGCGAAGTCATCTTCGTGGAGTTCTCGGTCAGAGGCGTGCCCTGGCAGAAGAGGCGGATGTTATAGGGATCGATAGTGCCATCGGAGGCTTTGGAGTTGCCGACCATGTCGAGGTTTATCATGCCTGCTACATTTACGGATGCATTCTTGTAGGTTTGGGCTAGGTTCTCGGCGCCGAGGAGACCTTGTTCCTCGCCGGCGAAGGCTGTGAAGACGATGGTTGTCTTGGGCTTGTAGTGTGCGAAGATACGGGCGAGTTCTAGGGAGACTGCGACGCCTGAGGCGTCGTCTACGGCGCCGGGTGCGTCGCCTTGGTAGTCGATGGGGTCGCTGTTGCGCGAGTCATAATGCCCGCCTGTTACGTAGACGCGATCTGGGTCTTCGCTGCCTTTTAGTGTTGCGACGACGGTTGTGATGTTTACTGGGAAGATGATGCGCTCATTGTCTCCGGGGTGTTTGATGAAGCTGTTCCAGTCTACGGTCATCCTTCCCTCGCTCTCATCTGCCGCTTCTTGAAATTTAGCCGTGAGCCATGTTCTCGCAGCGCCGATGCCTCTGTTGGGGTCAGTTTGGCTGGATAGGGTATGACGCGTGCCGAACGATGCAAGCTTTCTGATCGTAGCTTCGATGTTGTCACGCGATATTTGCGAAATGATGTCCTGAAGGTCTTCATCCGGCATCTGTTGCTCTAACGCCTTTCCAACGACGGGCAATGGCCATTGTTGCGCACTCGGGAATGACTGGTGAGGATGATGTGCGTGGATAGGTGACGAGAAAGCCGTCTGCAGCAGTGTCGCCGCGCAGACTGCGAGGATGGATGAGGACCGCATCTTGATCGATCTAGAGAACTGGCCTTGACGATACAAGAGATCTTACCAAAACATTCTATTCCTACATTTTATACTCCACCATTTTCGCCATCCCACTCTTCGCGACAGGCTGTCGACTGCCGGTATCTCCAACATCTCGCGATACCGCAGTGACTGCCGTCATCGGAGAAATGCAACTCTTGCTATCATGGCTTTCGCGAGCGCCGATCTGTATCGTAAGTGGAAGCTCGTAATGCTACCAAGACGCCAGAAGGAGAATTAGGGAAGATTTCAACAGCTTTGCTGCATGCTCTGCTTGGCAACGGGTACCGTGTGCGGGGTTCTCCATCGAGCTTCCGAACGTTTGCGATGATATGCGATAACAACGGTCGTCTTCCGAAAGGAAAGGCTATTAGTAAAGCGACTGCATTCTCGCGACGCCTTCCATTCTCTGTTGGCTGGTAGTCCAGTCGCGCTGGTAGTGCTGGTGTTAGTTACCTTCCGAGGTGGCTGGGAGCCATGGGTCTTTATCATGCAGTTTGTGTCCCACTTTGCGAACAGCATATCTCCATGAATTTTGCAGTATTTTCAAAGCCGCTATAAATGTCGTGATGGAAGTCTGGTGAGCACATCGGCTAGGTTAGTCGATATCAAAGGGACACCATCTGAATAAGATGGCAGAGATGGCGCTAACTGTAAAGCTTGGCGTGACATCATCGCATTGACTGGGAAGCCACCAAATTACAACAATGCGACTCGATGACAGTGACATTCCATGAGCACAAGTGTCTGTCAGCAGAGGTTATGATTATACACTCACGATTTGCAGCAGCGGCTGCTTCCCGGCGCTGCATCGAAGATTTCTCACTGATCGACGCCTCGTAGCGCCGCAACAAGCTTGACAAGCCTCGGCTGCACGAATCGTATCGTCGATGGTTCTCACGTTGCGCAGCATCGGCTGTGGAAATGTTCTCTATTCGTCCTGGAACCCCATGTCTTCCCCACGTGTTTCGAGATATCCGGTGGTACCTGGGGTTCATGAACGTGCTAACTCCAAAGAAGAAGGTAACAAGACTGGCAGCAACACCAAACACGGAGTGAAAAGCCAAACTAGGAGTACGCAATAAAGGCCCGATGCATCACAATGCATGTCATTTAAAGCGTCGGACAGGAACTAGGCAATCACTGGTCAACGTGAACGGATCAGGTGTAGCCATTGGGTGTCGACGGCGGTAAACAAAAACAGTCCAGCTTAACGAAGCGGAGGAGGAAATTGAACTGGTAGAAATAGGCATGTAGGTAAGGTCTGATGACATGGCTTGCCAATGTGCTTGCAAGAGACGATGCAGTAGCGCAGGAGATAGTACTGAAGTGGTTATGGCCACACTCGCTGTGCTTTAGTAGGACGATGGCTCAGAATACAAAAGGTCAGACCGTCCACCTACTCTTAGTGGATCATCGCTACCAGCCTCTTCAGACTTCCTTCGTTACAAATCGGCCACTTTAGACAATCGCTCAACATGAAGACTTGCGCTCGCTCCCTTCTTGCCCTTGCGGCTATTCTCACCACTGCCCTCGCTGCGCCAACGCCTGCGAGCGGGGTGAGCTTCCCCATCACTGATCTCCTCGACAAAGACCTCACTGTCGAGGAGTACGCGGCACAGCTTGAGAACCAGGACGTTGAGACACGTGACCTTACCAAGCGCCAGTTCAGCGGAGACACTTACAACCAATTGACTGACGGTACTGCCTGCCGTCGCGTAACTGTCATCTACGCTCGTGGTACTACCCAAGGTAAGATCTCTCTACTGATCGTAGGCGAGTTGTATACTGATACCCTTTCTAGCGGGTAATGTAGGCGAGGCCAACTCCGAAGGCCCAACCTTCTTCAATGCTCTGGCTGCGCGTGTCGGAGGAGCTAGCAACTTGGCCATCCAAGGCGTTACCTACCCGGCTAACGTCATTGGCTTCTTGGCTGGAGGCGACGCGGCCGGTGCCACCACTATGTTCAACTTGATCAACCAAGTGAGTGTCATCATGACTATCGATATATCAGTACGATGCTGACTGTGCACCTAGGCCATTACCCGATGCCCCTCAACCAAGATCGTCGTCTCCGGATACTCCCAGGGCGCGCAGCTTGTGCACACTGCTACACAGAGGCTATCAGCCTCCGCCGCCTCGCGTGTCACCGCCGTTGTAACATTCGGCGATGCTGACCGTGACGAGTCTTTTGGCTCTGTTGCTGCTAGCAAGGTTCTCATCATCTGCCATGCTGGTGACAACATCTGCGACAACGGTATCATCATCACCCCTGAGCACAGGAACTACGAGATTGATGCTCCTACTGCTGCCGCTTTCGTCGCCGCACGCGTTTGAGATGGAAGCTGGGGGTGGCTGGAAGTACGATCATATACGATTAGTTTAATGGTTACGAAAATTTCAAGCTGGATTACTGTTTGCACGATTGTTCCCTGACCTTGACTTCCTTCTCTTTGCAGTGCATGGGAAATACTTTCGAATGTTGCCAAAGCAAAGGTGAAGATTAACGCAATAATGTGAAATAGGAAAGGGAGTCTAGTCGCCGGGAACATGATGACGGTCTATGTGCAAATTGATCATCTATTCTCTGTCGACGAGCAGTAATAACGCGGTGAAGAGACGTCCGGGCTGCAATGGCTGGAGAGAGTTGAGTATCAGCGACGGTGTGCGTAATCGATGGGCACTTGTAGACTTTAGGAGGCAAGGCGCCCGACAAGTTGTCGTGGTCTTTGTCCTCCCCGTTCGCCGTCCGCGGGTGTCAAACCCTCTGCCGCCTTCAGGCAACCCCAACATAACGTGCTTTCCGCATCTCATGTCGAAATGGCGCATCCAACACAACATTTCGCGGAAGATATTCATCAAACCGACGGAAACCGCACCATACTTGGCAAGCCACAGGAAAACTCGAGTGAAGTCATAACCAAAAGGGTCCGACCCGTAGACGCTTGGGTCGCAAGCCGCCACGCGCGAGTCATTTAGCGCAGATGTCGTGCTCGCCCCATAGAAAACACCAAACGTCTCGATTGCGGTGATTGCCTCAACGACCATCACTAAGGAGAGAAAAATTGGATACCAAGCTCGCCAAGCATCGCGGTGTCGTCCGAATTCTTAAGATATGTAGTCTCCACGTTGGACT